ATGTTCAATGTTGCATGAATGTTCTGTAATGTTTTTTTCGCGTGTATTTTTGTTTGTCTTTAAATTTGTAGAGCTCTATTTAAAAAAAAGAAAGATAACAGGAACTATACGTCGCGAATACAAGTGCGGGGTGGGGGGGGGGGGGGGTATATCCACATCCCCGGAGGGGTCATATGGACCATACGCCCATGCTACACCTTGCTGATCCATGAATAAGTAAGACTTAATGGCTTGACATCAGTTTGCATTGGCAATACGAACAAAATGACAAATAGCAAAAGGGGAAAAAGGGGAAGAATGGCATATGACAGAGACGGGGAGAAGTCTAGAAACCTAGTCTGCATGTATATACATTGTTTTGACACTTTCAGAAAGCCATGCGAACTCTGAAATTAATGTATCTTCTAAAGATATATTTTTAGTTCTTATTTTATTTGACAACCATTCAAATGTGATATTCTTGTATATACAGAAAGCAATTGTAATGTTTGTTTCTTTGTGGGTTTTTTTAGCGTAAAAATAGAGTCTGTTTCTGCAGACTTTGTACAGTTGACATTCTCGAAAAACTCAAAAACACCAATGAGGCCGGTTCATTGTGGCGTCAAGCATTATATACCCCATCCCCCTATTTGCATGCTTACGAATATAAATACTTCCTGGCATCTCGTTTTGTGTATTTTTGAAAGAAAGACAAGCGAGGGACTGAGCATCATTGACACTGTCGAAATTTCTCTTTTCTTTTTATTAATATTATTGTTATTTTCACATTCTTTCATTTTTATTCAATTATACGCCATCTGAGCTTCCCCATTCTGGTTATGGAAAATTGTTGTTAACCGTTTTTAACATTAACATTTCTATCGCTTCTTTAGCACGGGCCTCGAGCCCGAGATATATCGTTAGTAAGTCATTCGCTTTTTTCTCCTTCGGCGCCTGATATCTCGCCACATTTCCTGTTTTCTCATTTATATAGTGCAACATTTCTTATGTTTTCGCTCAACAAAACTCAAATTATCAAACAGCGAGGTAAACTGAACAGTGTCATCATGAATTAATATTTTGTTTGATGATTATCCTTCACCTCGATCCCTAGATAAGTCAAACTATCAACATTATCCATAAAAGCTACCGTCCTTTTCAGTTTGCTTTAAAAAAAATTATTTATTAGACTTAATCGTATTTTAAAGAATAAGAACAATAAAATGATTGATATTTTGTAATTTCCCGTAGTGAAAAAAAGGGTTTATAAATAGACCGGGCTATTTATTACTGACATTTTTTCTTCTCACCTCCTTAACTACTCACTCATTTTGGAATCATATTGACAAACTCATTTTATCTCTCTTTCAAATTCTTCGTGTCTTTTCTTAACGCTTTTTAAAATACATTTGGAGTTTGGCCACCGTTTTTAATGACAAAGAATTAAGACGTGAGCTGACCAGAAAATTAATATTGATATTTTCTTATCTTTCCTTCTAATTCCAGCACTTATATTTTAGACAACAACATCATCTAAAATAGGCTATACACCCATTCTACTGACCACATCCTTATTTCGACTGGGGTAGGGACTATAATAGAGTCACACAATTTGAGCATGTAACACTGTGTTAAATTTCTTCCCCCTCTGACATTCCTCACTTGGAGAAACATATTTCGATTACGAATGGTGACAGGTGTTAATTTAATGATAAACACGATGCCTCGACAAGTGACGATTAGTTTGAATGCTAGTTGAGCAGTTTCTAGTTTCTAAATCAAATGACAAATCTATAAAACCCTTCGTCCAAAATCATAAATTAAATAAAATAACGGGAGAATTGAATTATAATTGGCATGGCAAAGCCGATCTGCGCTAACTCAAATGCAAAGTAAATTCGATTACAAACTCGCTAATCTGGCCGGGAAATCGTAGAGCCTTTGCCATTTTGGTCCGATCGCGTTTATACCCCCCCCCCCCCCCCATTTTAAACACACACTTGCCATGCCGATAGAACAACATGAATTTAAATATACACGCACTCTGCTGAATACAGTCTTGGGTGATTCAGGTTATGCAGCCTTAATCCCTACCTGAACAATAGAACTGGCAAGCCGGACAATAGCGATCAAACAACAGCCTTTAATACTTTGCCGTGCGTGCATGCCTACGACGTATTTTTGAATTTTCCCGAGAATGTCATAGTCTGCAGAAACATAATATTTACCCAAACCAAACAAACACACACACTTTACAATTGCTAATCGGATTAATGAAAAACATATCATATTGGAATGGTTGCCAAATGAAATAACAACTAAAAATTGATCTTTACTAGATACCGGTACAGTAATTTCAAAGTTTGCACGCGGCTTTCTAAAAATACAAAACAAAGTCTATACATGCAGACTAGGCTTCTAGACTACTGTCATTTGATCTCCTTTTACAATAAACGCATCAATATCATTATATGATACAGTGTCAGTTATTTTTCTCTCTCTCCCTTCTCTTTCTTTTATATTGATCATCTTCCTTTTTTCATCATGTTAACAGTAACTGAATAGTTTTCAAACTGTTATGAACTTTGTCCGAGATTTCCACGGATTTCCACGGCCCTAACATAGTTAATGCATGTTCCCCAGAAAAGAAATAACACCCGTGTCTTATATCTTAACACATTTGATTTAAGAGCCTACTAATTAATTTCTTTTATTTTTCGTTTTTCTAAAAAAACTAGGATTAATAACACAAACACACCCCTTAACAGGTTAATTTTTGTTTTCTCCTTTTAAAATCACACACCTGTGATCGACAAAGTTTATGTTTTCTCTTTTAAAATTGAAGTTTCTTTCAAGTTCACTCTCTACTTTTATCTAACGGCGTGGTGAAGTGAAAAGAATCTCATCACCATTATTTATTTTCCGCCCTAGTATAGCTCGATTTTTAGAAGGATTTCCCACCCAAATTCGCGAATTTGTCATTAAAATTAATTGTCTTGAGTTCAAATTCGACGCTTTTTAACGGCTGTCGGGTATATCTCGGGTTTATATTCCTTTTACTAGTGATTATAAAACCCTTCGACCAAAATCCAAATTAAATAAAATAACGGGATAATTGGCATGGCAATATGCCGAGCTGCGCTAACTCAAATGCAGAGTAGATTAATTCGAATGACATGCGAATCTGGCCGGGAAATCCTATATCACAAATCGCCTCTGTATGCTTAAGGGCCTTTGCCATTTTGATCCGATCGCGTTCAACCCCCCCCCCCCCCCCCCCCCCCCATTCTAACACACACATTCCATGCCGATAGAACAACATGAATTTAAATATACACCAACTCTGCTGAATATAGACTTTGGTGATTCAAATTAGCCAAGGGATTAGGTAGCCTTAATTCGCACCTGGACAATAGAATCTGACAAGCAGGACAATAGCGACCAATTACAGTACAGCGTGCGTCGCCGCGCGCGTGTACATAGTAAAAAGTGTGAAGTACTGGTACGTAGATGCTTCATTGTTGACAGCATAAATGTATAGGTGCTTCAACCAGGTACACCGCCTCCCTAGCTGCTTCAACTTAGTCTTGTTTGTTATTATTCATATCTATTCAGTCCCAAAATAACCGACAGAGGTGTACGTTTGATTTATATTTCCTTCGAAAGACAAATCGGGCCTGATTTCTAGACTGTGAACTCGTTCTAGCTTTCAATTAAACGCAACAAATCAGAACTGGAAAAATGACGGCGGCATGGGCAGATCTAGAGTCGGACTTCGGGTAGCTGGACGGATCGCCGAGCTGGACCCATCAACAAGCAGCTGCGAGGAGAACCGCAGATTATTTCTCCTTGTCAGTGGGATCTGACTAGACATTGACAATAACTGCCTTGACTTGACAAAACTGATATTACATGTATCTACCTTGAATTGACACGATCTGCATCGACTTGACAAAGATAATAATCTACCCGGAGTTGACAAGGATACTATTATCTGACCTGACTTGAACAAGATAATATAATCCCCCGACATGACGAGGATAAAATTATCTACCCGGACTTGACAAGGATAATATTATCTGACCTGACCTGACAAAGATAAAATTATCTACCCGGACTTGACGAGGATAATATTATCTGACCTGACTTGACAAGTTAATATTATCTGACCTGACTTGACAAAGATAAAATTATCTGACCTGACTTGACAAAGATAAAATTATCCGACCTGACTTGACAAGTTAATATTATCTGACCTGACTTGACAAAGATAAAATTATCTGACCTGACTTGACAAGTTAATATTATCTGACCTGACTTGACAAAGATATGACTATCTTTTACATTATATACACATACATATATATATATATATATATATATATATATATAAAAGTCTCTCACTCGGACAGGTATCTTTGTCTTCACAATTGTAATACCTGGAAATGCAAAACAATATAGTCACTCAATGGAACGCAATATATCACATTGATATATTGCGTTCCATTGTCATTGAGTGACTTTACCTGTCCGAGTGAGAGACTTTTTTTATTTAAAAAAAGAAACAAATTAGCTGAAATTATATAAACGTAAGCTTTGACAAAATGAAAAAGGGTAGTGAATTTAATTCTGACCTTTAAAACAAATGAAAATAATGCTTAAAAGACGTGAAATTGAATTTCCCACTTTTTGCTAAATAATGAACAATGATTTGTTCATTTTGAAAAGATATACTGTTTATAATACTCTCGTCTCCATTTTTGGATATTCCTAGCATGCACCCACTGCCCTTTCCATAGGAAGGTACACAATATGGAATCTCCATCATGCCCCAAGGCAGACATACTACAGGATCTGAATAAGAATTACAAGTTGTCATACTTGTCAGACAAATTATACATGTCCAAGTATGTACGTGTACATTGTACATGAAATGTTGGCCAAAATCATGTTTCCATCCTTACCCTGCATGGTGGGCAATTCTGCGGTTAAAACAAAAAATGTAAACATGAATCTCTTACTTGTGTCTGAAGTGGCTTTCTTGGACACTTCAATCGCTGAAAGCTTCTGTTGCTTGGACGCATTCTCAGCATTTCTCGCTTTCTCTTCATCGTATGGGCGGTCAGCAACTGGACTGACCAGTACCAGGAGGTCTTCAACATTGACCACTACCGGTTCAGAGAAAAGCCCAGTCCAGGAAAAGTCAATGTATATCCTTCCTGTAAGACAGATAAAAGAGAATATGGATACATATGATAAGTTTGAGTTAAAAGTCATACCAATATCCTGGTATCCCATAGGACAACTACATTGTATCTATACATGTAGGTGTACTTTAATAGACAAAAAGCCCCTGGAAATTAGCCCTCTGACAAATCTCCCTCCCCCTAGCATATTGTAACTATCCTCATAATGTAGGACAACTGCCCCAACTCCCCACTTAAACAATTATCTCTTGAAGTAATTTCCCCTCAATTTAGTTTTCTGAAAATTACTGCTGGAAACAAAATTTGCAGGGGTTAAATGTACAGAGGGGAGGAGAGGGGGGGGGGGGGGTAGTTTTCCAAGAATTTCTGGTTCTGAAGGTACATGCCTGTCTTAGGAAGGAGTTGTTCTGACATGATACCAAATTTTGTAAGTCTTGAGATGGAGTTGGATTACAATAAATGTCAAAATCTAACATTTCCATCATAATCAACCACTGTATCAATATCTTCAATGACCCAACAACCTGAACTTTGGCTGATTGAGTATCCCGCCAACAAAATACAGTGTGCATAACAAAGTCAATTTGCACACTGTACACGCTGCAATTACTCCTTCTGAATCATAATTTAGAACTTAAACTGACTTTAATAATGCTGCATGGTCAATTTGTACAAAATGACATTTGGCATATTACTTTGCTTGAAATGTCAAGATATGCAGTACCTGTACATAATTGTACAATATATTAATAGAAATTGTTCCACTGACATAATGTGCAGTGTACATGTATGACCTGCATGTTCAGAGATCTACTGTATGCATTTAAGATCTATTAAAGATAAAGGTGAGTTTTGGTAATGCGATGGCATTGTGAAAGAAAAGGTGTGGAATGGATCAGAAACAGTTGATCATGTAGCATGTAAGTATTGGTGTGCACTGCAAGGTTCTGAAGTCATCAAAATCATAATAAATTTGGCCGAGTCTTGGTAAAGTAACAAGCACTGTACACAGAAAGCTATATATGGGACAACACACATGGTGTCGGGGCTACTACCTTGATTGCCTCGTCTTTCTATGCTCATTACTCAGCCAGTATACATTTTCTTCCAAAATTGTTTGGCACATGTCATTTACTGTATTTGTAATCTTGAACATTCAGTGTCAGTTTCGTTTGATTCTGTGAGAATTAATTTTTTTTTTTTTTTTACCAGTTTATCTTTAAACATGAAAGATCATAGAAGCAATCCAGCATAAAGATCTCATGAACACCTCAAATATTTGCAGTGGAAATTGCTCATGCACTATTCCAATACTACAAAGCAAACAAATTGAACCGATTGCACTAAACACACTGAACCATTGCATACATGTACAGATGTTAAAACAATATACTGTCTGATTTTGTGGAGAAGATGTTTTTTCTTGTAACTCTTCAAGAGCAAAGTAAGAGTTTAGCTACATGTACTTTTATACAAGTCATTTAGATTTCATTTAATTTCATAATAGATTCATGAGAAGACCCTTTAAGGTATTTTGCAAAATAATGGGGGGAAAAAGAAGAAGGAAATATGCATTAAAATGTTTTAATTGGTAGCACTTTCAAGGATTCGTGATTACCGTTTTGTGTGAAATATTTACATATATATACAATTAATCATTTTCAGACAATTTTTGGTCTGTCCAGTTTTATACAGATACATGCATTTCGTTGGAAAAGTTAACAAATAGAGTAAAATGCCACTGTTGCCAATCAAAAATAAAATGTTGTTCTTGATCGACTAAAACGAAGTGCATCTCAAAATAAATTTCTCAACTACAGCGTAAATGAATAATCAGGCTTCTATGATAATCTATTTTAGTTGAAGAGACAAATACTGTGGTTTAAAAACAGAGTTAAACTTCACCCACTAAATTTAGGTTTTAAGATGAGAAAAAAACTGCACTGGGAGTATAATGCAATTGATCAAGTTAAGCCTGTGGCAGGCCTGAAGTCATTCACTCTACCAGCTAATTTACTTCGCTTCTTATTATTTGATTAGGGAGAATGATTGAATTAAGGCTGTGCACATTATTTTTAGCATAATGGAATAACAAGCCATGCGTTTACCACATCATACGACTCAATCAACAAGTGATTGGTAAGCTATGCATGAACAAAGTAAAATCCATTTTTGGAATATGTTGTACATACACAAAACCTTTGATACCTGCAATTTTTATTTGGACATCAATATATTAAATCTTGTTTGCACTGCAGGGATTTGTTTAAATATATATGTTTATGTATTTACAACTTAGTCTGCTTGGGCAATCACAACATGAATCCTTCATGTTTGTTATCATTTTTGATGTGGCAACATTAAGCAAAATTTTCATCCATAGAATAACAGTGTTGTTTCCTATGCTTGGGATGGAGCCAACATCCAACTAATGAAAAAGTAAATACAACTTGCTTTATTAAAGGGCATACAACATGGACAACTGCACAAAAAAGGGCTAAGGCAAACGAATACATGTCTAGAATTCAACAAGTCAGCTACAAAAATTATTAGCATGCACAAGTGAGTAAGCTTTAATAATGTTAATATAAAATTAAAGTTTTATGGACAATCAAATTTTAAAATGATAAGTAAATAAGCCTCCCCCCCCCCCCATCCCCATTTATTTTATTTTATTTTATTTAGTAAAAGCAAATAAAACATATAATTCATGGCATCTCACCTATATGGCCAGCAACTACTTCTATGGGGAGATTCAGCTGAGCCTGTAAAGAAAAAACGAAAGGAAAAAAATGGCACAAGATCAGCTTGCGGCCAAACAGCCACTGAACATGTTTGAAGTGTTTCATTTACAGTACTTCAAAATTTAATAGATTTTCACAAACAGTCCAGTGAATCACAAACTCTGAAACACTGATTTATTTTCGACTATAGAGAAAAGCTTACCAAAATAGAAAGATTTTGTAATATCTTGTCAATTTAAATGTTCAATATTTACTAATATCTTGAACACAAACAGATTTACAAGTACATTGATTACAAATAGTTAATGATCTGTATAGTACATGTAATTCCTTTTTTTTCCCTCTTCTTCTTCTTCCACTAATGGGAGGATTAAAATTGGAATTGCTCTTGGCGAACATCTTGCATACATAACTATTGTGACTATTATCAAGGCATACAGTGTATTGGTAGGTAATACCATTAATCATTGTTATGACCAAACATTTGTGTATCTAGGCCTTCAGGGAAAATTTATTTTTGTCCGTTCACGAGCGACATGGAATTAAGAGATTATATTAGCACTTTATGCTAAAATCCCTTCCTAAGCCATAATCTAGGATCGGCTGTAAACAAGTCAGTACATGTAGGACAGAGTTTCACAAACTGATGGAGTATACATTTGTAACAAACTATACAATGTAGTGAATCAGGATTTTTTTTGTAAGCAAATCAAAAAAGCAAACATAACAAATATGGAAAGAAGATTTTGAAAAAACATCTTGTAAAGAAATACTACCATAGTATTTAGAAAACATGAAATTTACAGTGTACAAATGAAATGTTGTAGAAAATGGAAAAAACATCACAAAGAAATTCGTTTACAAAACATACCAATGCCTCTGGCTTTATCTCTAGGTCTGTCAGTTCTAAGCTACCTATAAAACAAAAGGGGTAGAATTGAGAAATAAACAATAATGATAATGATCATAATTAACAATCCCATGTAATTTTGTATGCATGAAAATAAAAGGCAATTAACTAAAAAAATAGTGGAAGTACACATTATCTGTAATAAAGACGTCACAATTCAAGTTCACTGTAGCTATTCAACAATCAACAAACAATTTACATTTACATGTGAATGCATTTCTGAATTCTGCTCCAGATTTCAATTTGGCTAGAGCAGCCAAATACCCAAACCTTTTTTCATTGTCTAAATAAACAGAAATCCCATGCGACACAACAATGTACAAATTATCCATTAATGTACTATGTTATAAACATACATGTACATGTGTTTGAATATGTGAACATAGTAGACATATAATTCTTAATGAGAGTCTCAAGGGAAGAAAATCCATTAGCCACTCAGTCAGACACACCTGCCTTTCATCTAAACACAAGAGGATGATACATATATTAGACTGATATATTATATCCTGCTCTAAGTATGAGGCTCAAGGCTACAGTATAGATAATATCTGGACAAGCTTTGTAATGCAATTGCATTTTGAGATAAACTATCTTGAAGTACATGTAATTATGAATGTATGAGTTGGTTTGTTTGACTGGCTATAATTGGTATCAACAAGCTAATAAAGACTACCAGTGGCTGAAATTGTGAATTTAGATTTGTCACATTCAGTGAAACAGTACAGACTTCACTTTACATGTACCGTACATGTGTATGATGCTGTGTGTTTATTCACATGATATGGACAATTCTCTTTCTTGGCTCAATACTCAGAGATTGTAAATTGTCTGCCAAAATTGTTTGGCAGAGATAACTTATTTCAAGTCTTGAAATTCAGTGTAAATTCCATTGCAAAGGCTACAGTACATGTACATGTGTTCACCATCATCATTTCCAAAGACAGAGTTTTAATACTCAAGTAATTCATCAAACTGATAATGTTAATGTTTCTCCTATGCCTGATTGAATAATGGTCCATGAAATAAATATTCTTTACATGTGTACATGACATGTAATATACATGTATGTCTCTCCTTTTTAGTTGAGAAGTGGGAGTGAGGCCTCACATTATTTATCCATGGAAACTTGATCAAGGTCAGTATTACAATACAAAGGGTTTAATATTCAGTTCATCTCTAAAGCAAGGGAATATCAATCAGTGAATTTATGTGCAGGTACATTCAATATTTAGGTACGTACATTAATGGATAATGAAACAAGGATGCTTTTAAAGGTCAATACATTTTGTGAATTTACAGGTATACTGTACATGTATGCTGTTTAAATTTAGAAATACATGCAAAATGTACAGGACTTGTATATATCATCCAAATTATAATTAGATGTACAGTACATGTACATGTACACTTGATCTCTATCTGAAGTAGATATTAACCTCTTTCACAATACATGTAATTTACCTGTAAATGTTCATGTACATGTACTGTGTACTGTACATGTAGGCCTGTGCATGTATAATTACAAATATGTGAGAATAAGTATTCAAGACATGTGTTATTAACACTAACATGTACATGATGTAGTTATTGTTTTACCTTAAGATGTGGTTTACAAAATAATTGTTTAACAATGTTTACTTGTAGATGTACAATGTATGTATAAACGTGACTGTGTACAGACAGTATAGTGTATGTGATCATAATATATACACAACACACACCCACACATATCCATACAAGACATGCAGTCAATGATGGCCCTAGATGAAGAGTGGAAGATACACAGGGTGACAACCAAGCAAGTGGTTGGTTGTGACTGGCTCATACTGGGGCCGATACAAAACCATAGAGCAACTCAATTGATGCTCAACAGCATATTGATTGCGTGTGTGCAGTCAAGACAAGATGACATACATGTACTGTACGCACTGGTGTTCAAGCAATACACTGAGTGGACTGGCCACAGTGCTAAGTGCATAACCATACAGGTGCACCTTCTGATATTCTAACATATGTTCGCATGCATACTGTACTTATTTGAAGCTTAAGTCTTGGAGCAATAAATGTACATGTATGATGTAAATGTGTACATGAATCTGTAGATTAGACATGTACTGTACTGTACTGATTTTTCTTTTTTAATTTCATCATCATGATTTTACTGGGGGGTAAATTTGTACATTTCTAGCCTATATATTTCTTTCCTTTTTTTTTTCTAAAACATCATTAATAGTCACAGTGCAAACGAGTAAAACAGCTGTTTTTCTTTTTCTTTTTTAAAAATTACAAACTGTATTTTTCTCTCGTCAAATTTCATATCTGTTATCAATTTAACATGTTTATGGTGCTACATGTACATGTATCTGAGGACATACTATATCTTAATGTCTCTGTCTCCTTCATTGTTTATTTCCTGTAGTATGTAAATGTACATGTACATTACATTTGTCAAGTAAAAACTTCAAAATACTAACATTTTATTCATTTACAACATAAGCTCCATGACTACACGTATGTCTTCTCATGTTTGAATATATAATAAATTACAATATACATGTACATGTAATTGGTACAATGTACTGTACATGTACCTGTACACAGCAAATTATTTAAAAATGTATTCTACACTGTAATATTCCTAAATTTAATTATGGTAATTACAAAGTTAATGGACTCTTTAATCAATAAAGAAGAAGCAAAGCCTTCTTCATGCATATTCATGTACTTGTATACAATGCTTCAATGCCGCAGATTAGTTACAAACCATTGCGGGTGAATACATGCAGCTGAGTTAGACATTATTTGATTTTAATTGCATGAGGATTAGCAAGGACACAGACAAGTTCTTGATCAATGGCACTGAATGATTACGGTAGATTGTCCCAGAATTTGAACAAAGTGGCTTGTTACCAAATGTGCTCATGGATGCATTTAATATAATTTATGCAATGAACATGAACTTTTACATTAGAAAGCCTGAGTAAAAATGTAACATGTCTCTCCATTTTGCATGTGAAATCTTTGTCTAACATACATGTACATGTACATGTAGCATACAAGCATATTCAGCATGATCCAAATTGTAGCAAATTATTTGTCTTATTTATTTATTTTTTGTTACACATTTTACATAATATATTTTTACAAGGGAATGCTTTCTAAACACTCTTTACCAACGATTTTGATGTTAGATATTAGATGTACCCATGTAGGCCTACTGTATTTTCATGACTTTCATTATTTTATAAAACAATGTACAAGTAGGTACATGTATAAAGTCTCTTGCCATTTCATTTTTTGAAGCATCAACAAAAAAATCAAGCCTCTGTATCATATTCTTACACTGTACATGTAAGTACATTATTGCAAACAGAAAGAAAAAAATAGGAAATCACTTACTGTCAAAGATGCCAAGTTCGAGATTATGACTGTCCAAGTTCCTGATGTACTTGCTCAGGTACTTGTTGAGCACACTGGATAGCAGGGATTCCAGAACCATGGTTGGGTTCAGATCTCACTCTAATGAACAACAAAGTCTGCTCCTAAAACTACTTGCAATAGATATCTGTGGCTGACTGTTGCCTGTCATTAGGCTAAAATAGAAAAAGAATGATAAGGAAAAGGGAAAAGTTAAGAAATAATATTTCACTATTATGTAAATGATACAGGTACTCATCTGGGCCCATTACACAAAACTTACCATTGATGGTAACTTTACTATCAATAGTAACTACCATGGAAACCTTGATTTTGATTGGCTGTTGAGCCCTGTTACCATGGTAATTGCCATTGATGGTAAAGTTACCATCAATAGTAAGTTTTATGCAACGGGCCCCTGGTGAAATTTGGTTATGAGCTATACATGTATTTCGTTTGACCAACTTTTTTAGTCTATAATTTACACAGACAAATACAGTGACGCTCTGACAATTTAATAAAACGTCATCCAGAGAGGCCCTGTACAGGTACATACAGTATGTTTATTTTTGTCTTTCCAAAACAAAGAGATTCAACAAAATGATCAATCTAAATTTACATGTACATGAATTTGTAAAGGATGTTATCAATATTGTATTTTACAGCATGAAATAAACATAGAAATTAGTGAGCAGCATAATTATAACAATGCCATTCCTGTTAATATTCAAAGTACAAAATATACATTTTCAAAGGCATAACAAATCAGAAAATGAAAAGAATTTTGCATTCTAAATAAATTTGACAGTTTAATTAATAATCATTGACATGAAGATGAAACAGTAGACAGCTGTCCAATAATCCTTGTTCATTTCCTGTCAGACCAACCAATGCGTTAAACCTTTAATACCCCCTTGAAACACGCCCATATTTGGTATCTGGTATGCGGTAGTTGACTCTTTTACAGCTGAAATCCGTAAGTTTTTACCCCAACAGGTGATTTAAAAAAAAATTAAAAATCTTAAAGGGGAAGTCCACCCTGAAATTAAGTTAGTTTTAATAGGAGTAGAAAAATGAGAGAAACAAGTCAGTGAAAGTTTGAGCAAATTCCGATTAAAAATAAGGAAGTTAGGATTTATGAAGTTGTGATCAATCAAACACAAATTGGCAACTCTATGACGTATCATGCGAGCTCAACTTCCATTTGCTCAGTACTAAAAAAATCTAAAATTTTCATTTTCCCTCAAGAAAAATTTCAACCATAGATGCACCCTAAATATAATAATTGCAAATATGTTTCTATACTCCCCCTGCAAGGAACAAATATATTCCGTCATCAATAACGAAGAAAACATGATTTTATGGAATATTATGCACAAAGCAAATGAAGGAGAGCTCGTATAATAAGTCACAGAGTTGCCAATTTGTATTTGATTGATCACAACTTCAATAATTCATAACTTTCTTATTTTTATTCAGAATTTGCTCAAACTTTCACTCACCTGATTTTCTTATTATTCTGCCTCTATCGAAACAAACTTATTTAGGGGGTGGACTTTCCCTTTATTGTGACATGCTGACCTTTTTAATACGAGAGTTGTTGATATTTAGTTCTGCTGCTGAAACCCAAATACTGTTACACGCAAAGTACATGCATGTACAGAGGTGTTTTTCGTATTGCCAATTTGATTAAGTGTACTATTAATTCACTGAATTTAGGGAACTTCCTGCCGTCGCACCTTTTTTACACTAATTGCTATTATCGTATCAAAACGGGTGATGACAAATTCATTTTAGGTTTTGGTTACATCAACCTTTCTCTATCTTCTATTCTACAAGTAAATGTATGTACATTTGTATTGAGTAGTTCATTAATCCTCATCCTACTCGGTTGTCTTTGTGAACAGTCATTATTTGAGACATCCCATGGGTTTTATGATTCCGTTCATGATTAGGCCATTTTTTAGGTAAACTTCCTGTACTTTATAAGAATATTGATGAATTTGGTATCAGTTTGTAGAAGAAAAAAAGTGTTCTACGAGAAAATTACGATTATTTTGTTTGGTCCGTTTGTTTGTTTTTCCTTTTTTTTTTCTCTTTGAAAAGTCAAAGTTGGGGGTGGGGCTTATGTGGCACTGCGGCCTTATCGCCGGCAAATACGGTACATGTATAATGTACATGTACATTTAAGTTAACTGAATACATTTATTTAAAATAATTTTGTGCATTAATGTTGGGACAGTGCACTTGAAATTGCTTTATCACTCTAGTCACTTGTTTATTGTACCATTGATGCATGGCATGACTACATGCATATTATGTATTTAGCACTTCCTCAGGCAATGTGTCTAGCATAGCACCATCTATTGCTGTGCACTTGATACACACTCAGAAGTCAACATGATTTTGTTGTGTTGTGAGGATCAAGGATCCCCTTTTTGCCAGCGCATCATTGGGATTTGAGCAATACATGTAGTATTGTCATAAAGGCAGGCTAAGAGGTTTGATAGTTTTTTTTTGTATATTTAGTGTATTTTTATGAAAAGTGAGTTTGTAATTTATGTAAAGCCATAATGCAGATGAACAACAATAGTAACTGAGGTTATTTTAATAGGTTTAAAAATCATAACACAATGTACATTATGAGTTTCTCCAAGAGACTGTATTTTTGCTATGAATTTGATGATGCTTTGATGTACTTGTATTTTTTATCCTTTATTTGTGTCATTATTCCACGGTTTTCACGGAATGGAATGGTATGAAGTATAATGAAGCAAGATTTCTCCAATCATTAAAGCTACAAATTCCCATAGAAACCTTTGTCCAGATCCAGAAAGTTATTATTACATGTACATGTATATGATTATAAAAATATTTCTTGTGTGCATTACTTAAATCTCTCCAAGAATACTCCTTTTGTTATAACCAATTTACGTTTTAATTATCACAAGAAGCCGCCTTGACATCAGGACAAATTTCTGTAGCCAGAGAGTTGTAAGCAAATGGAACAAGCTGCCGCAAACTGCCATTGATGCTCCCACTCTCCTCAGCTTCAAACACAACTATCCAACCTGGGTTTTTAAATAGGTCCCATGGGACCCCCTTAACCCTGCCACACCACACTATCTACTGGATCTACATGTACATGTACATCACCATGATGACGAGGTGTGGCCTTCAAGGTACTGTATATTCAAGGTATATAATGGTTACAACTTTATTGAAAACAATTTCATTTACATTATATTCTTGTGTCCCATTATATTAGCTTAGGGGTGATTAGACTTGCACATGTATGAATCTTGTATTAACTCTCCTGTGCATCCCTGACCTTCACTATTATTCAGTCATCATTTTTATCTTGCCATACTGTATATTGGTTCACCCTAGACAGAAATAACCGTCTGATTTGGTCATTTCTTTTATAAAACTGACATTTGTTGACATTCCCAAATACAGACGGCAATCCAGGGATCTCGTACCGTGGGGTGGCTAGAGCCACCGATGTACATCTTTTCGTTCAAAACATTTTCTCCCTGATTTTCTTTATTTAGATCTTATTTTCTGATTTCTAAATCAGATGTAAATTAGGTCGGTATATATACCTCCTAATTACAGTTTTCAAAATTTGCTAACCTACTATAGAATGTGAAATTTATGGACTTACTTATTATGAGTTATCCAATTTTATCTCAGAACCGCGTACGTTCATGCATTCAAACTATTACCCAGGGGCCGATATATTTCCAGTTCAACCTACCAAAACATAGCCAATGGCCAATCAGAGCACTCGTTTCGTTGGAGTTCATTGGTCAAGCCGAGCTGACTCGTACATAGCTACGGTAGCTATTAGACGTTCGAAAAGAAAAAATGAATATTCATCAACTAAAACCAAGACGGATAATGTTGCCGACGAGACTTTCTCGGATTAATCATTAATTTAGGATCTAAATGAGCAAGCTATCGTAAGTCAAATAAGCTATATATATGTTATTTTTAATTTTTATTATAATTGCAGCAGTTATGAGGATGTAAAGAGTGAAAATCTCGTAGCGTATCTCATTCATCGCGGTCTGGTCAAACCGAACCAGTTGTTCCGTACAGTCCCGTACAGTCCCGATAGGCCATACTTCAGTCTCTATAATCAGAGGTCTAGTGGAGCCAGACGTAGTATCAGTGGAACAACCAACGATTAGAGAGACTGAAACAACCTAACAGAAGTAGATCTATCGACTCTACTCAAAATAGAGATGTCAGCTCTGAGAGCAGTGAGATGCCCTGCATGCATGTAAAGTGTAGTGTTTTTATTTATTTGCCTGCACAGCAGACCTCCCTTTCCATGGCATTTATACAAATGCAATGAATTATCATGAATTATTATGTGATTATCTTCATCACCATGAAGCGGCACTTAACTGGAAGAAGAATTACATTCACTTGAAAAGGAAGAGAGATTGGAATAATCCAGACAGTAGAAACACCAAGATTGATGGGTCATGGGTGAACCTAGATATGACAATGAATGTACCTACATGCAATTAAATAGATTCTGACCCCCATATCCCTTTGAAAGGGGCGTAGGGGGAAATATTGTAAAAATTTGAATTATCACAACTTTCGGGCCGAAATTGTAAGGGCCGGGGTGGTAAGGGATTTTGGAGGAAAAAATTATATTTTTTGTTTAGGCTAGTTTTCCCACAATGAATGTACCTACATGCCATTAGATGGATCCTGACCCCCATATCCCTTTGAAAAGGGCGTAGGGGCAAATATTGTGATAATTTGAATTAACACCAATTTCAGGCCGAAATGGTAAGGGCCGGGGTGGTTCAGCATTTTGGAGGAAAATATTATATTTTTTTAATAGGCTAGTATCTCACAATGAATGGACCTACATGCAATTAAATGGATTCTGACCCCCATATGTTCAGTTAATTGATTTGTACGCTCTCACTAGACTAGCTGTTTATTTTGACCAAGTTTGCTTCTTGTTTATAAAGATAGGGGTCTATGGGGCATTGCAAGAAAGTTACGGTTGATTGCAAGTTGCGATTGATTGCAACTTTCTTGCAACGCCCCAGTCCAGTGTGATATGATTATTATGAACACAATAGTATGAGTATGACTCTGTATGAGAATTGAATTGTTTATTGTCCATAAAAAATCAAAATTCGTTGTTCACTGGTACAGGTGTGTTTTAATACAAGTCTGGCAGAACACCGACTTACCCGCACAATGCACACACATATGCATGTCACAATAACACACAGAACGTCACAACATACGGTACAAACACATTCATCCAGGCCAGGCCCAGGCCAGGGACGGCGCCTTGTTATCTGCTGTCACTCCGCTGGTACAATCTGGTTGTTTTTCTACCCTGTAATGCTTATTCATTCAACCTCATACTCACCATGTATGCAATTTTGATGAATTTTCGTGAACATCATTGAACTTGAGGTAAATTCCAGGTGTATGACAGGTAAAAACAATAGAAATTACGACGCTCCTTGCCTGGTTGTCTCAGACGAAACGGGAATCCCCAATTTGTGCAGCGCAGATATCTCAATTTAATATGTGTGTGTGCAGTGCAGTGCTAGTAGTATGAACGTGTGGGTGTGTGCATGTACTTTTGTATTATGTGTGTCTTTGTGTTGTTTCTTTCTTTCTTTTTCTATTACTTGTATGTAAACAATTATTATTTCTCTTATTTCGCGTTACATCTCCGCCCCTTTCTAGATCACCTACAATAGTAGCGTTTTGGTGGGGGAGGGGGGGGGGGGGAAGCTACTCAGATCAGACGGGGGTGTGCCGCTCTTGAAGCCTCGAAACCCATACCCATTTGGTCATTATTTTGGGGGATTCTCGAAATAACAGCAAATTTTTCACATTTTTCGGGTCCAAATTTTTTGAAAATTAAAAAAAAAACGGACCCATGTATAGGTATATTTTTGGTAAAAATGGGACCCATGCTAAGGTTTTTTTGTGAAAAAGTGACCCATTATAGAGCGGCACATCCTGTGAGTAACCCCCCCCCCCCCCCCCCCCGGGCCCTCTTGTTCTCCTCCTTCTCTCGAGTTCTTCTCTTATTTCTGCAGCTAGTCTGTATAACTCCTCCTCCTCCTTATTACTTTCTCTTCTCCTTCTAGTTCTTTTTTCTCTCACTCTTGTCTCTGCAGTATACTCCCCTTATATATTTTTAATGGACACTCGAAAGTTTTGGAAAGATCTCTAACTGTGCCTATTTCTACCGACGTGTAGGCCTACCCCCCCCCCCCCCCCCCCGACCGTTCCACAATGATTCCGTTAGGGCTCTGAGCTGTGAGTGGAACATTTCTCAGTCCGTATCAACACTCATAACTCTATGCAAACACACATGCGAACTACTAGAAATTAGTACGAATTCCACATAGATTTCATGATATTTCTTTTCTTTATTTCATTCAAATCAGTGAAAACTTGATTTTTGAAACATATTCACGCCATGCCAAGCGTATCATCAACCTGCTACAACTTATTTGTTAAGCTGAAGTAGTAGGCGTCATAAAGGCAATATAATGCATATGTTACAAAATCACAGAGTTTCATCACTGTACGTGCAGTGCACAAAGTAACAAGCGACTTAGATCTTTAACTAAAACTATAACTTGATATATAAGTAAAAAGAAAAAAAATAGTCTAAGTTGAATTTCTAATTCGTATTTTGGTCGAATTCGAAATTTAAACCTTTTAGCAAATCGATCGTTGCATTATAACTCACATAAGATTGTGTTATAACAGTGAGTATACTAAAAGATTGAAAAATAAAAGTTTTCTTAATATTAAGTTGTAATTTAAAGCCGGTTCCTTTTGAATGAATCACCGGCTTTCCACATACTATAATACCCATTTAGATTATAATTATATATATATATATACGAAGATATCAGGGTAGCTATTTCAAAAGTACTTACGATCGTGTTATGATTTTTTTTTTCCCCTGTAAACTTTGTATGTATGTGAGCGAAACAAAATATACATGACATACAGATGAGATGAAATGAAATTAATAAGAATTGCACTGTGGCTATATCAACCAGAGCTTAATACTATGATACTGCATTTTTTTATTAAATAAAAACAAATAGGGCTAAAACAAATGTATGTCTTTCATAGAATGATATTTTGTTCTTAAAGACCGTCACCACTACTGGGCCAGAAGGGATTAGACCACGCAGAGAGCCATCGAGGTCACTGTGACAGGTGGCTATCTCATTAACTCAGCTATCATTTAACATAAGAAAAAGAGGATCATGGGGGACCAACAGGCACCGATTGGGGAAGTTTTCTATATAGAGGGAGCAAGTAGCTACAAGTATGGCAGTGTGCCTTTAAATACGACTATAACTAGCGACCCATTATTATGTATAATTAGAAAGTAATAAATGTAAAAACGTGAGACAAGATAGAGAGAGGGGGATTGAGAGAGAGGGAGAGAGAGAGAGAGAGAGAAAGAAAGCAACATGAATTATTGGACGTAGAGGGGGTTATTGCATTTTAAATTGCAGTACAACATCGTCGTTTTACAGTTCTTCTCTATTTTCCTTCTCCGTCTCTGACCTCGCAAAGCCGTTCTCGACCATCAAATCATTTATCTGACCTCTGTTCATCTCGGAGAGGTCAATTCGCTATTAGAAAGAAGAAAGAAAAAAGACATTTACAAAAAAATAAGAAAAATCATTTGGCTATATTTTGTGTGGTGCCAATTAAAAATGTCAGAAATAAAATCCCAGTCTGGGTAAAAATCCCAGGGGTAAAAAAGTCAGAGGTAAACAAAAAAAAACAATGTCAGAGGTCTGAGGATGGTGGTCAATTAGAGGGATATTCGTACTGTCTCTTGTCTGAATCTTTAAATTGAATTAGACAATTGCTTATATCGTTACAAAGATGTAGGGGAAGAATAATGCATAGTATTGCAAGGAAAAGAAACGAATATTAAAAGGTCTGGCCATCGAATAAAAAATCAATAAAAAAGCGTTGCCATGGATACCTGGTCAATGTTTCCTTCTGAATCCAGGATGAGTAGGTCTGGATTGGCACCCCCCATAAACCTTAAATCTACTTCATGGCTGCAGATGACTACGTTAAGGAGCATAGTATAATGTTAATCATATGATGATAATAATAATTATAATAATAACAATAAGGCCTGAAAAGAAAGATGTTGTGTTGCCCTTCAGGTGCCAGCACCTGGGTCGGTCGGTCGATTTTCTTTCTTTTTTCCTCTTTGGGCTCATATTTTTCAGTTTTGAATACATAATTTTTGATGGATTAAACATTTTTTCTCTAAAAAACTGTTTAAAAATGTTTAGATTTTTGGGTCGGTCGCAAAGGGCAATACAACAAATTTTGTTTAAAGGCCTTATGATGATAACAATAATAAATAGTAATGATGTTAATAATAATAACAACAAAATTTCCATCACGGACGGTGCTCAAGACGGTCCATTAATTTGTTAATACCTAGGTGGAGAGTTGCAAATTTAGATTTATATATTCCCAAAGGACACCGGGGTTCGAACCCACGACATTCGCATCTTCAGTCAATCGGCAAGGGTTTAACCGGCACTTGCCTATATAGACACATCTACGACGTGGTCTATAATCAAACGAGAATTAGTTTTATTCCGACCCCATCAACCCCCACCCAAGCATGACTTTTTTGGCATGTAGCCTCCTGCCGGCTAATTATTTCTGTATTTTTTTTAAAGTACCCCAAAAGTGCCCCTTTTTACATAGGAAAAGTGCATGTACCCATTTTCCTTTGTAAGAAGTGCCCCTTTTCCTTCTAAACGTGCCCCTTTCATCCCTAATAAGTGCCCACTTTATTTTGGCATGTGCCCCTTTTCCAATATACTTCTGATAAGTGCCCCTTTTCCTCTTTTTTGTATATAAGAGCCCCTTCACCTTTTCACAAATGCTCCATTTCCGATTGGTGATAAGTACCACTAATATTGAAATGGACCTTGAAAATGTAATCACAATTATGTAGATACATAATATATAATGTATTTTTTTTATTTTTACAAAACCATATACAACGTACAAGCAAGCGTGACTAGTATGACTACTACGTCACAACATTATTGTATAAAGAAACAAAACAAAATCAAAAACTTATAAGAGTCTGGATCTTGTTCTTGAATTATTGTCGATAATATAACTATAACTTACACCATTCCCTATACCGATGCTAGGAATAATTTTGAAATAAGGTTAACAAAAATAAAGAAAAATATGGTTTTGAAAAGTTTTGAAAAGACTCTGACGGAAAGGATACTAATAGGGAAGGTCTTCAAAGATGAAAGCCTTCACCGCAGGGAGCGAGTTCAACCTTCATCCACGGCAGCTCTGTATTTTATAGGGAGGAGGCATAACAAGGAAAGAGAAAGGGTGGAGAGATACATAGGGAGAGAGAGAGAGAGAGAGATAGGGAGAGAGAGAGAGGGAGAGGGGGAAGGAGAGAGAGAGAGAGAGGGAGAGAGAGAGAGAGAGAGAGAGAGAGAGAGAGTGAGAGAGATAGGGGCGAGAGAGAGAAGATAACAAAATGATAGTGAGGGAAAAGAGAAAGGGGAGAGGAGAGGGGAATTTAAGGGAGGAAGATAGAGAAAAGGAAGATAGAGAGAAAAGAAAGAGGGAGTGATAAGGAGGGGGAAGAGAGAGAGGAAAGAATGGATAAAGAAAGAAATAGAGAGAGAGAGAGAGAGAGAGAGAGAGAGAGAGAGAGTGGAATGATGAAATAGGGGTTCGTTAATAATTAATAATAAATAATTATGAGAAGCATAAACATATTCTGTTCGGGCCAAAACAACTGTTCTGTATTTGATCCTCTTTTAAAAGCTCTTTGTTGTATAGTGAGCGTAAATATAATCCTATTTTCCCTTTCCCATCTCAAGTATTGACCAATTAAAATATAGGTTTTACAAATCAATACACAGTGGACTTCTGATTAAACTCTGAATATCATTTCAAAAGAGAAAACATCCACGTGTACATCCATCTTCCCAATCAGTTTACAGTAGCACAATACGCCATGACCTTGTCGGTGAAATACTATTGTGTTTGTTTTCCTCGCATACAGCAGACGGCGTGCGTCCCTCAAAATCCCAGATGTTCCAAAACAATGTGGTTAACAATAGATATATATCTGTATAGAATTATAACGTATGCTAATTCATAAAATGGAAACAAGTATATTCAGAATAATGGTACGAAATTTTTTATTTATGAATTAATTTCGTCTGCATTGGAGCCAAGAGATTTATGCTCTTCAAAAATGTTAAAGTCATAATGGATACATTGCATGATTTATTATTGTTTTATTATGATCAAAGGGAATAAAATAAATTCAATTTCCGATGAAATTAAAGAAAGACCATACTTCTAGCTCAAAACAAGCACACAATAAAAATTATGGGGTAGGGGTATTATGAGTGATGATCAACAGCATTTGTATGTCGTCATTAACTGTTGAAAACATTCAAAGGCGCCCGCTCCTCCAATAGTCATGGACTACACATTAAATTTGCTTGAAAATGTGGATTTTGAGGCCTGCCTAGCTTGTCGGTGTTGCGAGGAATACAGGAGGGAGGGAATTACATGAGGCTTCAAGCAACTGAAGAGGAGGCACTATCACCATACATTCATACGTACATACATCCGATTAGCACTTTTAAATATTATATGGCTGAAATCATTACACCGTTTTTGCTATATCGTTCTTGTCAAGGGCATTATGATCATTTTAGACATACTATTATAATCATTAAAAAGAATGACAGTTTACTATTGAACATCAAAAGAGCAGAGAGTGAAAGATACTGTTCATAATTGTTAATACCGTGGTGTATATATTCAGTATAGTATCAGTAGTTACCTCAGATGACAGGAAAATTCGTATTTCAATATTTACTTAGGACCCGCCTACGCCCCCCCCCCCCCACCACGCAGGCAGTAGTGCATCCAGAAATATGGAAGAAAAGAAACAGAACAAAAAGACACATACCTCCACTCTGGCAAGAAATTTTGTATTTTCAGAGTCTTCTGCCTCAGTCACAACAATGGTTGTCCCAGGCCAGCTAACAAATAGCCCGAGCACGATTAAGGCGAAAATCTGAAAGTTCATCATCTTGGAGAAGGTATAACCATTCACAGTACCTCTGTAACACGAACTGGAAACGAATTTGTGTACTGGTGATCTTTTTAGTCCCCACCGGCCAAAACTACCTATCACCATATTCCACGTGTTTAAAAAAAAAAAAAAAAAAAAAAAAAAAAAAAAAAAAAAAAATCAATATTATTATGATTGGTAGATCTAAAGAGAGAGAGAGAGAGAGAGAGAGAGAGAGAGAGAGAGAGAGAGAGAGCATGGTCACAGGAGGGAGAGGGAGAATGAGAGAAAGAGCGAAAGAGAATCATCAGTACTGACTACTGAGAGAAAGGGACAAAGAAGAATATTATGGGTCGGAAGGGAGAGAGAGAGAGAGAGAGAGAGAGAACGTATAATTAATAATGCATTTTTTTTTAATTTTTTTTTTTTTTTTTTTTTTTTTGGGGGGGGGGGGTATATTATAAACTTGTGTTGATAAAGATGACCTGCTATCACGTTATTAATATGTTACTTGATAACAGTTTAAAACTTCCCATGAAAGTCTGCATCAAAAACACCATAATCATTTGAAGTAATAAAACTCAGTTCAGAGAACCCATTTGGCAGAATGATAATCTCCCGGGATTATCTCCTTCTAGCTTTCCTCGATCCTATAGGCTTACATTAGTACGTGTCTAGTGGTCACAATAATTTACGGTGTGTTAAATTGGTATTGAGAGTTATTGTTTTTGAGTGGTTATCGGGTGCAGGGACGTAGCCAGAGTTTGATGTTTTTTTTTGTTTTTTTTTGGGGGGGGGGGGGGGTGGGGGCATATTAATGTAAACGATCGACGTCCTGGGGAGGGGTCTAAAAAGTTCAATCGATCTTGGAAATTTTTGAGGGGCACGTGCCCCCCCCCCCCGGTGGCTACGTGCCTGATCGGGTGGGGGCATTGATGTGGTGGGTATTGTTAGTTTTGGTATTCGGAGTTAGCGTTGGTATCAATTAGAGGGGGGGGGGGAGGGCTGTTATTTTAATCTTATAAATTAATGATCATGATAAAATGAAAGTGTACAAATTAAAAAACTTTTCCAAGCCAGTATAGGATTTAAACCTGAGTCCCTGGTACATAAAGCTTTAGGCTCGGCTACTGAAAATATTTGATTGTAATTGAGGTGTCACAAGAATTGATATTAATACCGTTGCGGTTATCAATTTTGTATAGGTGCAGATCGATGGCCGGGTATACTGATTCTGAATAATAATTGTCCTCGCCTCCTCGGTCTTTTAATTTATATGATAAATATTCAAAGTGTGCATACTGAGAGGGTGGATTTTGTCTTTCTAGTAGGCAAGAAAATAAAATATCAGAATGCCATCCACAAAGGAAGCATGCACTAGTCTATATGAAAATGAATTAATGTCAAATTTGATTGAATGACACAATGAGCTGCATATTCCCTTCCCTTTCCCTTGCCCTTTGTAGTTCCCTGTAATCTCCCTTTCCCTGTTTTAGCGTGTATTTGTATTGCATAAACCTAACTTTAGTTTATTATGTCATTTGTATAGTTTAAAGAGCTATCCAAAACAAACTCTGCTTTTCCATAGGATCCGCCACTATATCTTTCTATATAAGTTCAACTAAAGGACAATTTTCTGAATCTTGTGTATTGTATATACATGTATATTATAATCATTTTCAATATGTTGTTACACTCTTTGTAAAATGAGATATTGTGGAAACCAATAAAATATACAAGATAGTCTATGTCAATAAAGTATTAATTGTCGCAATTTGTACCCCTTTTTAAAATTGTGTGTGGGTGGTTCATTCAACCCCCCCCCCCCCCCCCCCCCCCCCTTGGAGGATTTTGACCTCTACCTCTACCGACTGCTTTCGTATCGCGCGCCCATGAATCAGCTGAGAAAATAGGCACACCCTCAACGTTAAACCGGAGACAGTCCTCGCCTTACCTTCTAAACTAAGTAAGAAAATAACGTTACTTCTGTGACTAAGATTATTTAGAATAATGTCAACTCTTTTCGGAACAATCGCAGAAGACCCCTTTTCAGTTGTTCTAATTGGCATATAAGTGTTTTGAGGAGGATACGATTACAGCTAAAACTAAAACTAAAAGACTCGGCATTTTATATCATACTTCATAGGCTAGTCCCACATGTTGCATTTTAAGTTTTACGTAGACAGGTAGAACCTATTTTAGTAGGCCTACGTTCTACGCTGGTTCATTGATAGATTGAGCGACTTTCACCTACTATAAATCATAAGTCTAGTGGGCGGATCCAGGGGGCCGAAACGGCCGCGCCCCCTGTTGGCGGCGCGTGAAAAAAAGAATGGTGAGAAAACAAGGAGAAGAAAAGAAAAAGAAAGACTCAAAGAGACTCTGCGGAGTCTGAGAGAGAGAGAGAGAGAGAAAAAAAAAAGAGAAAAGAAAGAGAAGAGAGAGGCCGGGTGAAAAAGGGAGAAAAACAAGGAAATGGCACTTAGTGACAGTAACGACAGTAGCAGATTCTTCTCTTTCTTCAATGCTGTGCATGATCCTTTTCTCCTTCTTCATCATCACCAACGCCAACCATGATCATGATGATGATGATGATGATACGAGGAGAGGTAGATCCTGTAATCCTCGGTCACTTCTTTAGGGATGATTATGTTCTATAGTTAACTTATTGCACATGTGCAGAGTTGGGACGGTTTTGATCATATCAAATTAACTTGATTCGAATCGCTCAGACCACCGGTGCTTATCCAGTCTCATCTTGAAGATATTGTGACGAGATCTGGTTCCATGAACTTGGTAGCAATTCCGAACGACACGAACCAGGTCTCGTCTTATAAATCAGTCAACTCTCCCAGACAGTCGACTCTCACAACTCACAACTATTCAACGAGGATCTCAATCATGCATTCATCAATCACTTCAATCAAAGTAATATCCGAGACAAATAACGACAACTTACAATGATGTTTGATCTTTCAGCTTACTTTACTGCATTCCTTACTGCATCAATACAAAACACGGACTGCCCGTTCGCAGCGTTATCAAATCACTTATATCAATCTGACCAAAATGTCGCCCTCTTCAGGTTAAACACTGTAACATTCCGTCACACAACCCCCCACTTAGACTAGAACGTCCTCGTTCTAAACCTACCGAAACGACATTTTAAACATAGCTCAACAATATAGGCATTAAAAACATGTAAAACGGTTTTTACTATTAATTCTTGTTTTCCTAACCAATCTATAAGAAAGTCCAAGCAAATCAACGTAATAAGCTACACATTTGCCTTTTTCTCTTCTTCCTGTTATTTTTATAGATATATAATTATATAACACAAGTAATCACAAATACAAAGACATTGATCAACAATGTCCAAAATACGTTTGGAAATGTAAAGAATATCAAAACACTTTTCTCGTAAGATCACTAGTAATACTTGAGTTACAACAACAACAAAAAACCTGACCTCTAGTAGGCCTACCTGATTTAAGCAAATTGTAAACTGAGGCCTATAGTTGTAATCAAAACAGATCAAGTAAACCAGTAAGACTTAGTGTTAACTTAAACAAGTATGAAGCGGTCGAAGAACTCCTTCGTCTTTCTCGTACGAACTACGCGTCCTTCAATAGTAAAGGTCGTCGTAATCCTCTTCTCAACTCTCGCTTTCTTGAAAACCGGTCTGTCTGTACGCGCATTTCCAGTGGCACCCTCTCCTCCACTCTCGGCTTCTTCCGACGAAGATGATGCTGATGACGATGACGAAACCACCTCATCCTGGGATGCGGCTCTCTTAAGCATGGCAAGAAGCTTGCCTCTGGCATCTCTGGAAGAATCAATACTAGGCACTGGAGTTGGATGTACACTTATAATGGCTGTGTTGTTTTCCTGTGGCTGGTCTCTGTCGTCTCTCTTCGTCTCCGGACAACGTCGATCTGGGGATTTTGCCCTTTCACCGCCCCGGCCCACCGGTTCTCTTTCTTTGCTCGACTCTCTTCTGGAAACCGTGCGCTGTTCGTCCTTTCGGTGTCCGTCCACGTGCCTTTCATAATTCCCCCGCCTGGTAGAGGAATAATCGCAGGTCTTGCAGTTCCACTTCCGGGATCCATCCCGATGGTTCTCCCCGATATGGCGCATCAGGCTGCGGTGGTACAAGAACGTGGAAAGACATTCTCGGCACTTGTAAAGCCGGTCCCCATCCAAGTCCTCTGGTTTCTTCCACTCCTCAGACATTATCCTGCAATTGTGAAGAACAAAACACAAATAATTATTTATGTCGATAATTCTTATTTAATAAAAGAAATCTGGTGGTTTTCGTTTTCTTCTGGGATAGCGACTCTCAATCACGGGAGTCTGAGGTAGATCAGTGGGAAGATCGAACCCGGGTTGATGATCATCAGGCAAGTTCTCATCAAGCTGGGGTTGGTCATCAGCAGAGGTCTCATCAAGCTGGGGTTGATGATCATCTGACAAAGTTTCATCACTGGCAGGGCTGATCTCTTCTGGTATGACCTCAGGGGAAAGATTAGGAGAATCAGCAAAGGGAAATTCCTCCTCAGGAACTCTAAGGCGATACTCCCATGCAAGAAGATCTTCACCAGTGTACAGCTTGAGCCTATCTACATGTACTACCTTTGCTTTCGATCGGCGACTCAGCTGAATCCGAAACGTAACATCTGAGATCTTCGTAACCACTAGGTAAGGACCCATCCATCGCAGCTGTAATTTCGGGGAAACCCCCTTCTTCTTGCTGTGATCATATAACCAAACAAACTGTCCTTCCTTGAGATTAGTGGTGGTAGCTTTCCGGTCATAATTGCGTTTCTGACGCCTGGCACTCTTCCTAAGACACTCGCTAGCCCGTTCGTGAGCTTGTTGTAGATTCTGGCGTAGCTTTTCAGCGTAGTCTGTTTTTGGTTCATCACAGCTAGGATACTTTGGATTCTCCATAGTCAGGTCTATTGGAAGCGTCACTTCTCTCCCGAGCATGAGCATGTTGGGTGACTCTCCCGTGGATTCTTGTGCAGTACAGCGATATGCGCTAGTTGCATATGGCAAGCACT